AGCAAGTCAGTGTGTGAGCTAAAAGATCACATGTCGCTAAACGATATCTAAAAATATTGTATTCAGCTTAACTAACAAGAATATGAGAATCACCAGAAGCCAACACACAATACCTGAGAAGTACTACAGGGGGGGGAATAGCAACATGCCACCCATACGCTTTTGTATGGCTAGGGACAAAATTCATTATCCAAATGTTGCTCTTCGATCGGTCGTTGCGCTCAAAGACAGTTCTAACCATGAAGGGCAGAAATGGCTTGGTGGACAATAAATAAAGTACACGCTGTCCTCAGAACACAGTGCATTTCCTGGAAAGATTCATGGGCGCGATAGCGACACCCAATCAAGAGAAAGGCAAACGTCTGCGCCTTTTCTCAAGCGATAACTTACTGCAGAAGAAGAAAATGTCTCACCCTACAGGAAGTACTCGATATAATTTCTGGAAGACCAGGCACGTGACACTTCACGCGTAATGGTGAAGCAACACAAATGACGCTACCGTCATCTTATGCTGAAGAGACGACGAGGAATGAACTGGAGCCAATTTCCTCACATTAAATTCTCAGAGGACGATGAACATATTCCCCTTCTTGATTTTCGAGTGCCAAGCCAGTCAATGATCAGTCCTTCGTATTGGAGTATTGCCAAAAGTGACTAAAACGCTCTCTTATCCCCGTATGTCCTGTGTGCATTCGTTTTGCCAAATAAAGAACATAAAATTGAACTCGTTTTTACGTATGCAGTCATAGTGATAGCGGATAAGCGAACACTGGCCATTGCCACGTCGCAATCACGGAACTTCCTTAGAGCATCTCACATAACGACCTCGCAGCCTGCCCCAATCCTACGCCAGAATCTTTTCATGCGTGATTTCTTCATTTACTGGGTGGTCCCAGGCCTGCTGACAAGCTAGGCAGCCCACAAAAATCTTCGTCTAGCGCAATTGGCTGTGTTACGGTTTCGAATATAAACTGGATTGTTTAATTTAGGCTGTTTTTTATTCGATATAGCATTTCCAAACAAGTGATGGCAGCTACCCTCAAAGTTGGTCGAAACTACTTCACATCATAAACCTTAAGATATGGGAGACTGGAGCGATCAATTCTGGCTTACTAGCCATTATCGGAAGGCCATATTCAACCCAAGGATCTGTGAGTCACTGAGACCCGAACCCGCGACGTGTTGGTTAGACGTCCAAACCCCTAAAAATGGCTACCTTAGCAGTGTGCACTTTTTTCACTGCTCTTATATACACGAAGGTATATAATAGGAGATATGACAAAAAATATTCTTTATTGTACACCCTCAGTCGCAAACTGCGTCTTCTTCAAAATTCCTACAGAAAGAAAGGATGTGGTTTGATTTCAAAAAAGTTTTTTAGTTATTGCACTTATTACGAATATTAAATGTGCATTCATAAAGCAAATCATCTGCCGATCTATTGATGCTGTCTACAAACTATACAGCTTGATCCACACTCCTTGCGCAATTCACGGAAATAATGTGACCTTTGCCCCACACTATGGGGAAATATTCACCTATCCTTCGACAGCATACAGTTTGGAGACTTTGGATTCAAGTGTAACGGCCGGTAGGATTCTAAACTAGTAGGAAATTTAGAAAATTTTATTAAAACCAAAAGATACCCTTTCTTGAGGTATAAAATTTGAAGAAATGTTAATTTGCTACCAAATAGATCTAAGCATGAATATGTTTTTTTTTATCTATCTACAAAATATATCCATATATTTATAAGCGCACTGCAGAGCAGTGAGAACAAGATAAACTAGTTAGGTAGCCATTTGTTTGCAGGATATACTCCAAACAGGTAAAAAAAAAGCTCGTTCAAAAGCCAGCATCCTGACGTGACTGAAATATACTGAGAGTAGGCTGTACGATAAGCATGCTTGCAACCATTATCAATTCACATGTTCTAATTGAAAACAAAATTAAGAAGTCAGGTTGACATTTAATGAGGTAGGGAATGTACTGTAAGTTGTGCTCTAAATGCTCATCCAATGCTGAGCTTTCAAATGCTTCGTATCTACAATAGACATTTTAGGAAGTCGTGGCTTCCCAAACAACGACTAGCTCGAAAGTAATTTGCATTATTTTATAGTGAAATATTAGCGTCCGTTGGTGGGTGATAGTTAAATGGGTATCTATAAAAACAACAACGTAGGCCGCGTCTACTAGAAAATGCAATGACCCGCCCAACCCATATTCGGCGCTGAGAATTCGTTTAGCCAGAGCGTACAGACAAACATGCTTTCCAATGGCCATACCGGCGAGCTAGGTGACGGAGAAATCGTTACGCCAACCTCCGACACGGGTGACGAGATTTCCGCAGATGACGACTAGAATGCCAACCACCACGCAATTATCATTGATAAAGGGGGAGCCTCCTAATAATTAAGTCAGCCTAGTAGTCATTCTGGTGGGTTCTAGATGATTGGCTAGGAAATCCTGCTTGGGCAGTCAGCTTGCTGTTCCATAATAGTGGATTCT